TTCCAGAAAAGCTTTATTTATAGACACTGAAATCTGAATTTTATATATGAAGTATATGTGAAAACATGGCCTGAAAAAATCTTCATTTTGATTTATTTTTTTCCCCAACCATTTAGGAAATGTAAAATCCACTCTTAGCTCAGGCGGGCATCAGGCTAAATTCAGCCCCTAGGCTGTACTGAGGTTTGCTACCTTAGCTCTCATGCCTGGTTCGTCACTTCACTCATCAGAGTGGCTGTTTGGGGTGAGTTATATGGTGGGAGCTGTCCTGATGATCCATCCGACATCAGCAGCCCTCTCCTGTGAGTGCTGTGGGCTGGGCTCTGTGCTCCAGGGCTGCACACTTGCCCTCTCATTCATTTCTTACCATCGGCATGTAAGGGGGAACTGGCATCAGACCCTCATTACTGGTGACCGAATCAATCATGACTGGTGACTTGTCGTTGTCAGAGTCGGGCGTTTGTCCTTGTTCTTATCACCATGTCCTACTGCCTCCTACAGCAGAGCATTGGCGCCATGGAAGTCAGGCTGAGTTTTACAGAAGCACAGACTTTTTTTTTTTTTGCTGCAAAAAGAGATTATTTTTCCATAAGAAAAATCTCAGAGATAAGGAGGATCAAAGAACAGAACTGTCATATCCAACTGTGGGAAGATCAGCTCAAATCTCCCAAGACATAAAAACATTTCCAAATCTGTTATCTAGTTCTTTTTTTGTCTTGTTTTTATGATAGTAAATTGTGTGTTCTTAAGAAAGAGAGAGAGAAAGAGAGAAAGCACTCTAGGCAGAGACTTATCTGGTCACAGTTCCTCCTCTCCCCAGAGCTCCAGCTTCTTAGAATCCTAGGTGTCCACACATGTCCCCAGTGTGTTTTCCAAGCAGACCTGGGATTCAAACTGAGGTTGCCATGTGGCTTCCAGCATTGAAGGGACTAGCTTTATCGCCAAATGGAAGCTGGGCTTGTTATCTAGTTCTCTTGGCCAGGAATTTGAAGAATGCAGATAATCCTCTCACCCTCTAGCCAGACCCTTTCCCCACTCCTTCCATTACCTGTTACACACATACACACACACACACAAACGCTTGCTTATTTATTTATTTATTTTGGAGAGTTTTTTTGCTATAGGGTGTGTGTGCTTGCCAGAAAGAGAGAGACAGAGAGATAGAAAGTGAGAAATCACCCCCAAGGGGGATGGCTATGCTGCAATCCCTTCTCCTCCATTCTCCTCTCGGGATCTTGGGCACGCACGCACATGTGCCCAGTGTGAGTTTAAGCCACCAGGTCTGGGACTTGAACTGTAAGGTCTGGGGGAAGGGAAAAGAAACATGGAAGAAACATTCCCACCAGCAGTAACTGTCCTGTTTTCCACATCTGGCCTGCCATCACCAATGGACTTTCCCGCCCTTCAGCATTTGGTGGATCGGCCAAAGTTGAACAGAAACAGCAAACTTCACTGGCCAGACAAGGGCCCATGGTGACCACCTATTGGACAACGATCCTTTAAGACAAGCAGCAGCACTCACCCTGGGCGTGACTCCCTTGGCCTCTGATCAGACCGAGGGACCTCACCCGAGAGCTTCTGTAGAATAAATTATACTGGTTTTATTAAACTCCAAGGCCTAACTATGGTATTTTCGCCTTTGCCGTCATTCCTAAATCAAACCTAACACAAACCGCGGTTGACTACATGAGAGTCCAGCAACATAGCCATTATGCCAACTGCTGGTCCCATATTTATTATTTATTTTTTAAACTAAAAAAAAAAAAAAAAAAAAAGAAAAATTACTATAGTACTTGTATGCTTGCCGAGGATAGAGAAGGACAGAAAGAAAGTGAGAAAGTCCTCCCCAGGGGTCATGACCACGTGGCAATCTCTTCTCCTCTCAGATTTTGGGCACGCATGCACACTTTACTGGCATGGTTTACAAGCCTCCAGGTCTGGGACTCAAACTGTGGAGTTGGCAAGGTGGAATCCAGTCGGCTTAACCACTATACCATCTGGTCGTCCTCACCTCCACCTCACCCCCCCAAACTTCTAAAGTCTTAGGTGTATGTATTAAACTACTTGAAGTAATTTGTTCAATATTAGTATCCAAAGAACAGATGTCTACCTATTGCCACTTTCAGAGGTTCTGCCACATGAATGCAGATGTAAGCGAGCTCCCTTGTGGAGTCACTACCACCCTCTGGTGCCTGCCTGTTCCTCCCCTCTGCTCCCACATTTTCTCCTCCTAGGGCACTCACCCCCACTGAGCCAACACTAAGGGTAGCACAAGGGTCAGCAAATGCTGTGACAATGCAAGACAGTTGGGTTGGTGAGGGGCTGGGTGCTCCCAGCTGCCCTTCCTGCAGTTCTGGGATGTCTGCTCCAAGTTTTGCTTCTCTGCTACAACCTGCCCCCACCCTCTTGTTCTTCCTTTACTCCCTAAGCCAAAAACTGGGGTGTGACCATCACTTTAGTTGGGTGAGAGAGATGAGAGAAATGTCAAAGGCAGTTAAGAAGATCTGACAATGGGTAGAAAGTTGAAGCCAACGGAGGAGGTGGGTGTCCCTGAGCTGACTGGAATTGCTTTCACTCCTAGCTTTTCTCTTCCTGCCCTTAGACATCTCTGGAAATCTGCCAACTCCTGAGCAGGGCAGTTTCAGTTCTTTAATAGGAATCCCCTTCTTGGCTCTTTTGCCTTCTTCTCTGGATCTTTGGAGCAACTTCTGGGGATAGGAGTGAGGGGTTGGCGTGTACTTACAGAGATATGAGTGGTCTCTAGGTCTCTCTCTGAGCTTAGTTCCCAAGCCTACATGCCCAGGGCACCTCTTCCATGTGACTTTCACCTCACCCTCTACCTTCAGATAAGGGCAATGGCCTTTGCTGAACCACTGGGAGGAGAGCCTGTGCCATGGGGGAGGAGGATCGGAAGGTCTTTGTACACAGTCAGGACATTCAGCTTTCGCTGGACTTCTTGATGAGAATGTGGGTTGGGACAGGGTAATCTACATTTGAAAAACAAGTTTTAAAAATGTATTCTTTCCACCCACAAGTACTAGTAACATTTATTCAATGAAAAAACTTGGACAGTAAAGAAACGTATAGAAAAAAAGAAAGCAAAGGTCCCCATAACTTTACAACCTGGAGAAAATCTCTCCTAGCATTTCGGTGTACTTACTTCTACTCTATCCACTGTCTATCTTGTCACTATCTCTGCCTAGGACACATGGTATCTACCATTCGCTATCTTGCTCTTCTCCCACACCCTTCATTGACATTCTTCTCTGAGTATTTCTCATTAAAGATTCTTCCAAAGCAGTGATTAACATTTAATGAATGGATATTTACCTTCTAAGACTCAGACAATTCTTAAGGGCATGGTTAAAGAGAATATATCTTGCTATTTCTTTTCCTTAGCTCTTTAAACAACAGGAAGACTATATGACTGCCTCTCCCTGAGGCATTAACTATCTTGGAAATGAGTCTGACCACAGATCACATTAAGAAAGGGAGGCAGAATCATTCTCGAATTGCATAAAACTGGAGACTCTGACCTCAAGGCAAAACCCCAGGGTTGAGTGTTGGGTGCAGATACAGGAAGACTGCTCTCTTTTCTTGGCTTTGGTTGGCATCCAGTGGCAAATGACCTAGGCAGAGTCACTGAGGTGTGTGAGGTCACTGAGCAATGCTCTGAGCTCACAGCCAGCAGCCGTCTTCGGCCCTTGTACCATCAAAGACTTGTGACACCTGCATCACACGGATGAAGAAGTGTATTTCCTGTCCATGGGCAAATCACTGCCAAGTAGAGAAAGCAGAGAAATAAGCAACCAGTTGGAATTTGAAGCAGAACGAAGCAAGTTCTAAACTGTATAAATGGCAGTGGGTCATGGGACCCCAGAAGTGAGGGCACTGAATTTTATTATAGAGGAAAATTTCAGAAAACTCCATGAGGAGAGGGGGGGTAATTCATTTCAGCTAAGTTTTCTAGGATAAGTAAGATTTCATAGGTAGAAAGATGGACATTTTTCAGGGCAAGGGAATTGTAAGGGAATGGCATTGAAATAGGAAAACATACAATGAGTCCCAGGAAAAGCAGCTCTTTGGAGGTGGCTTACAGAGAGGGAGCGTGCAGAGAGCAAGGTAGGGCATCTGAGAGACCCTCAGAAGCAACCTATCACCTGTCCACAGACCAACATTCTTGTGGGAGGTTGGGTAGCACAGTCAAAAGAGCACAGATTTCCAAGCCAGGCCTAGCAGAGTTGCCCTCAAACTCTAGCTCTTTGTTACAGACTGATATTTTTAACAAGTTGTTCGACCTCTTTGAACCTCACTTTCATTATATGTAAACTCATGATTATTGGGCCAGTTAGTGGCATGGTGGTTTAGATGGCTGAATTCCACATGGCCAACCGTGCTGTTAAGAGTTCCAGACCTGGTAGCTTAGAAAACATGCCGGGCACATGTACACACATGCCCCAAATCCTGGAAGGAGAATGAGGGGTGCTTTCTCACTTTTTCTCTCTTGTTCTGTCTCTGGCAGGCATGTGCACTATATAGCAAAAATTTAAAAAACAAAGATTCAGGATTATGCACCTATCTCTCAAGTGTGGAGTTTAAATATCATGTTCTAAAAGTACCGAACAAGTGCACATCGTAGACCTTTAATACATGTAGCCTTTTTTTCATTCCTTTAGGTGGACTAAATTAGCAACCATAGCTGCGCATCAACAGGTTTTCACAGTCGTTCATTTCATACATACTGTCTGACCACCTACTGTCCATCAGGCCCTGTGCTAGATGTTCAAAGACACAAGCTCTCAAAGAGAAAGTGATATGATGGGGGCAGGGGAGGTGACATGTAAAGAGATAGACAGCTGAGTAACAGTCCAAGATAACAAGCCATTAGAGCCACCACAAGGCTGCAGACCACAGAACTAATGAGCATTTAGACAATGAGGCTGCACACGACATCTGGTGGACAAATAGAACTGGAGTTCAGAGGAGGGTGAGGTCACTGAGGACTGAAGCAGTCTGGAAAGGCTTCAAGGAAGAGGGGAAACATGAGCCAGCCTTGGAACACGTGAGCATGGGAAGAGGCACAAGAAAATGAACTGTTGTTTGAAGTGGCTAAAAACCAGTCAAGGTGAGTTTAAGGGACAGTCTGGTCTGATTGCGGAGGAGGAGTTCTGGGAGATAAGGCTGAGAGGGAGTGTGGGGCCAGGTTTTGGAAAGCATTGGAAGTCAGACTGAAGATTTCAATTTCCATTGTGAGAATGTTTACTGCCATACTGACGTGCCTCCCACCCTCACCCTACAGTATTTTAGTGGCACGTGTTCTTTAATATTTATTTATGAATTACCGGGTACTATTTTCTTTGTTGGATATATGTGTTATACTGTGCCTTAGCAAGATTGTAAATTCCACAGGACAGGTGACATAGAGATTTCCTAAGGAAGGCTTGGGAACGTCCACAAGAAGCTGGGAGCACACGGTTCTGACAGTTGCAAGTCCCAGCCCCTGTAAGTGTCACCATACCTGAAACCTCCAATGTTGACTTCAATGCTCTTGGGGTTGCCTTAATGGGTTGGGCCTCAAGTCTGAGCGGTATCTTCACATACTATATTCCATGCTATTTTCTATCAACTAGTTCATAATCATCAAATATAGGGGGAAGGAATACCTTTCTACTGAAGGTCCTACATTTTATAGATTCTTGCTGGTTTTACTTGATCAAGTTCTTTGACTTTTCAAAAACAAACCAACCAAAGTCTCGTTATTTTGCAAGGGAACTGTTGTGTGTCCCAGGCCTTTTATCCTCCAGAGACCCCATCCTCTGACATTACCCACTGCCTTCTCTCAGCTGAATCCCAAGGAGAAAATCAACCAGAAACCTCAGGAATTAGGTGACCAAGGGCAGAAAGCAAGAACTGTTCAGAGCAAACATAGCCTGTCTGGGTGTTTACTTTGGTTTAAAGAGTTACTGGGGATAGTGTACCAAACTTTTGTTTTTCAGGGAGCTTACTTTTTTGGTAAATAGCTGTTTTTAGGCAGCAGTTTCCCCATGAGGCCAATCGACAGATCCTTAAAATAGAAATGACTCCCTTTGTGGATCAGCCAGGATGACAGCGGTGACACATGGGCCATTGATCCCAATTACATACCAGGAAAGTGGCCTCTTAGGAGAGTCTACATTCTCCTCAGGGCATAGTTGCTCATCTCACTGCCTCTGGAAGTCACTGTCTTTGGTGACCTCAGCTACCACCAAGTGTCTCACCAGAGTGCCTGCAGCACCAGATGGTGCCCGAGACCATCATAATGGGGCATGCGTGTGAATGGTCTCACCAGCAGGGAGTAGGTTCCTTTGGTTTCCATAAAGCAAGGGCAGCCAGCTGGGGTCAGGTGAAGATGGGGACAAGACAGAGCCCACTCATAATGGTTCCTAAAGGATCAAGGCCAAGTCTCTTCTTCCCATAGGAGCTTGCTTATACTGCTGGGAGTTCTGTAGCTGGTTGGTTGACTGAGTTATGGTTTAGATTTCAAGACCCTGCATATGTTGGATTATTCCTGGCCTATTTTTTTTTCTACTCCTTCTCGCCTTTTACCAGGGGTCTTAAAAAAAGTTCATAGAATATGTATATTATGAAAAAAACTATGCATGGCTTCCAGATGTCTTTTGTATCAAAATAAAGTCACTTGAATTCCATTTTTCTGTGAACTGTTTGAGGTGCCCTAGTACATATTTTTCACTGGGGTAAGGCCAGCTCTTTACAAGATAAGACCTTTTTGGATGTTTGCATTAGTAGACCTCATGCCAATTCTCTCCTCTGGCCTTTGTTCATGCTGTCCTTTTTTTCTGAGAAGTGCTTTTTCTTCCCCTGCATCTATTTACATTCTTCTCACCCTTCAGGGTCCAATGCACATCTACTTCCTCTACTAAACCTACTAGAATGTTTATAAATATTTGGCCCCCACTCTGTCTCCTGGTTTCATGCAGGTCAGCTTTGTTTCCCTATATAGTATTTTATTTATTTATTTTTTATTAATTCACTTTACACCATCACAACACACAAATGAATTTTCCATCCAAAATACACTGTGCATTGGCTCAATCAAGCACATCCACATACATGTTCTCAGCAAATAATTTTCCAATTCTTACGTCCTGCATACCTTGCCCTTTGTCTTGCCATCCCTGATTCCCCATCCCCCACCCTCTGCTATGTCCCATCTTCCTCCTCCATTGTCCCTGGCATCCATGGTTGCCCTCCATGCCTTCCGCTCCCCCCATTCAATTGTTCTGCCAATGAACTTAATTAGTCTAAATATATCCAATAGCTAGCACAGCTGACACATACCTATACATGTACCCAAATCTGACCCTAGGCATAAACCCCAGTGAGTAGAATGAACATACT